GCATTGTTTCCACTGGAATCAACGGGCTCACAGTAGCTCACATTCCCAGGGATGTTGGGAAGAGCAGGGACTCAGTCTATCTAGATTTCATTATATTTTTTTTCCACCTCTAATGTATGTATAAGGAATCCTGTTGGCGCAATGGTTAAGCACTTGGCTGCTAACCAAAAAGTTGGTGGTTGAAACCCACCCAGAGGCTCTGTGACAATCTACTTCTGTGAAGATTACAGCCTAGAAAACCCAATGAGGCAGTTCTACTCTGTCACATGGGGTTGCTATTGTTGAAAATGGACTGCCCAGGACTAACCACGACAAATAATACCTGTGTAATTGCTCCTGGAACTGACTGAATGCAAAAGGAAAGTGGTCCCGATGAGTAGTACTTAAAAATAGAAAGTAGGAGGATCTGAAGGAAGGTAAATATCACTTGTTCAAACCAAACACTTACAACTGGGTGCAGGCAGGGTGGGCATACCTGGTTGAATTGATTTAGCACATTAGAATTTATGGTATCATTTCATGTACACTATATCATCATAGCTTTCAAGCAACCCTGTGAGGTGAGTGTTATTGCCATTTGACTGATGAGGAAACTAAGAGCAAGGATCACACAGCTATTTTGTAGCCAAATAAAAAACTGTCTAGTTACCAATCCCAGTACTTACTCTATGACTTAGCTAGCCCTTGATGGCTGCCGTAACAAAAAATATCACAAGTAAGTGGCTTTAAAGAACAGAACTTTCTTTTTCCATAGTTCTAGGGGGTAGAAATCTGAATTCTAGAGGCTAGAGTCAGCTAGCTCTAAGGGAAGGTCCTTCTTTTCCTCTTTGAGCTTCTAGCTGCTGCCAGCAATCCTTGGCTTATAGATACATCTGCCTCCATTGTCACATTGAGTCTGTGTTCCGCTTGTCTGTGCCTGTGTCTTTTCTTCTTTTGTTATAAGAGCCACTCATAAGGGATTTGGTTTAGGGCCCACGCTACTTCCATATGAGCTTATTAACATAACAAAACCTATTTCCTTGCAGACTCATATTCACAAGTATGGAGGTTCAGACATAAGCATACCTTTCTCTCTTTCTTCTTTACTTTTTTTTATGGTGAAAACATACACACAGGAACATTCACCAACACAACAACTTCCATATGTATTTCCAGCTCAAGAACATTGATGGCATTTTTCATGTTGCTTCAGTGTACGTTTCTGGGGGATGCATTTCAATCCACAACACTGTACTGTCCCACAGTAGCTGTAAAAGCCTGTCTTTGATTTTAGTTTTTTCCTGCCTCAACTAGTTCTCTTGACTTCTTCACAGATGTTTGCAACCCTTGAAGCAGGAGGATGAACCACAGAAAAACTGGCAGAGGAAGCTGTGGGCCAAAGGAACAAGGAAAAAAGGACCAAATTACTCACTCTTCGTATTCTCTCACTTACAGATTCATTACATTAAAATTATTTATAAATTCCTAAACTGTATCTATGATAGCAATAGCTAGCATTTGTAAAACACATACTCTATGTGGCTTACTGTGCTTTTTGAAAATGTATTCATTTAATTCTCCCCATGACCATGTGATGAAAGGTACCATTATTGATCCCCATTATATAGGTAGAAGGAGCTCTGGTGGCATAGTGGATGAGGCTTTTGGCTGCTGACCAGAAGGTCAGCAGTTCAAACCCACCAGCAGCTCTGCAGAAAGAAGATGGGGCGATCTACTTCTATAGAGATTTACAGCCTCAGAAACCCAATGAGAGTCACTATGAGTTGGAATAAACTCAATAGCAGTGAGGTTTTTTTTTTTTTTTTTTTTTTTAATATAGGTAGGGAAACTGGGCCAGCGAACTCAGGTAACTAAATCACACAGCTGGCAGGTAGTAAAGCCAGGATTTGAACCCAAGAAGTTTGGGGCCAGAGCTCACACACTTATCCACTATACTGTGCTCATTCTTTGAGATAGAGCCCTATTGATCTGAGCTCCCAATCTGACTCTGATACCCAACCATATCTACATATTTCCCTCATTATAATAATGTTTTTAATTTATTGTGCTTTTATCATATGCTAAGTATCATTCCAAGGGCTTTACGGGTATTATTTCACTTAATTATTTAGTAGATTGACAAGCCTTTCTCCCCAGTCTGTCTTAGTCTGGATGTTCCACTGAAACCTGTTCACCATAGATGAAATGCCAGTGGCATAGTTTCCAGTATCATAGCAACACATAAGCCACCACAGTACAACCAACTGACAGGCAGGTGGCGATCTACTTTTGAAAATCAGCCAGTGAAAACTTTATGGATCACAACAAAATATTATCTGATATAATGCTGAAAGATGAGCCCCCTGGATTGGAAGGCACTCAAAATACACAGTGGCTGCAACAATGAACTCAGAGCAGACCAGTGATCGTGAAGATGGTGCAGGACTGGGCAACATTTCTCTCTGTTAGGGGCAAGGTTACCATGAGTCAAAGCCAACTTGGTGGAACCAACAGTAGCAGCAGTTCCTTAGTGCTTGAATGTGGGCCCTGGAGATGGACCGTCACAGGGAGGCCCTTCTCCAATCAACAGCAGTTCTTGACTCAGTCATCTTGCATCAAGGACCCCTTAAAAAAAAAAAAAACACCTCACTGCTTTTGAGTCAAGTCTGACTCCTAGCGATCCCTCCTTGGGTTTCTGAGGCGGTATCACTACGGAAGTAGATTGCCCAACCTTTCTTCCGGTGAGTGGCTGGTGGATCTGAACCACCAGCCTTCTGGTAAGCAGTCAGAAGCCTTAGGCACTATGCCACCAGAGCTTCCCAAGGTCCCCTTGACCCTTTCCAAAGCTACTACAGGCTCTGTGCCAGACTTTGGGTGATCAAAGAATAGAAACCTCTCTGTCCTCATGGTTAGAACTCTGCCCAATCTATCTCATCCCAGGTTCTTGGTTGTGTTATCCCAAATCATCTCTCATTGAGTTCATTATGCCTTCTGCCCATGGCCTTCTCAAAATGTCCACGTAGATGGAGCCAAGCCACTCAGGCCTTCCAACAAAACACTGAGTTTCTGTGTGGATGGGCTAAGAGGCTGCAGGATTTCCTTCTGGGTTGGAGCAATCAGATGACTGAACATGAAGTGACCCATGTCATTGAGTGAGGGTCATGTCACTGCTTTCACTCTAGTGGAGGCCAAGGAGAGCTTCTTTCAGATGTCTCTGGAGGATTTGTTTTAGGGCATGTTCACTCCTCACTCAACCTTCTCCTCCCCAATTCTTTCTGACCTTGAGGCTTCCCCTGCCATCTGCAGCCTAGTTCACTGTTTCTTCTCACTGAGGGCCCCTTCTCATCTTTCAGATCTCCAGATCTCACTGAAGGCTTCCCTGACCATCCACCCCTTCCCAGCCTTCAGTTTCTCTCCCAACATCACCTTTAAAATTTTTTAATACCCCTGAATCACCATATGTAGTCATTTGTTTACTAATTAATTGTTTGTATTCCCTATGGAAATGTGAAAATGTAAGCCCTAAGAGGACAAGGTTTATTTTTTCATTCACTGCTATACTATGTACCTAGGCCCTAGCTTGGTGACTGGCCCATAAACCATTGCTATCAATTTGATTCCAACTCATGGCAACCCCATGTGTGTCAGAACCATGCTCCATAGGATTTTCAGTGGCTGATTTTTCAGAAGTAGTTTGTCTGGACTTTTCTTCCAAGGCACCTCTGGGTGAACTCAAACCAACTACCTTTTGGTTATCAGTTGAATATATTAACTGTTTGCCCTACCCAGGGACTCAGCCTATGTTCCAAAAAACCAAATCCATACCCACTGCCATCGGGTCAACTCCAACTCAGAGAGACCCCCATTGGGTTTCCAATGTGGTATATCTTTACGGAAATAGATTGCTCCATCTTCCTTCCATGGAGTAGCTGGTGGGTTTGAACCTCCAACCTCTGGTTAGCAGTCAGGTGCCTTAGGCACTGCACCACCAGAGCTCCTTCAGCCTATATTGTTGTAGTTGTTGTTGTTATGTGCCATCGAGTTGGCCCCGACTCATAGCGACCCCTTCTTGGGTTTCCGAGGCAGTATCACTACGGAAGTAGATTGCCCAACCTTCCTTCCGAGGAGTGGCTGGTGGGTTTGAACCTTCAGCCTTCTGGTTAGCAGTCAAGTGCCTTAGGCACTGCACCACCAGAGCTCCTTCAGCCTATATTAGGTGCTCGATAAACATTTGTTGAAAAAGGAATTCAGGAACTCTCTTCCTGTGAGAGTGATGGTATTAATATATTGCTTGTTGTTGTTGTTGTTATGTGCCATCGAGTCGGCCCCGACTCATAGCGACCCCTCCTTGGGTTTCCGAGGCAGTATCACTACGGAAGCCCTGTCAATGGAACCTTTGTTATTTATGTCTCAACATGTCTCCTAAATAAATTTGTACCTGTTTTTGGGGATCTTGTGACTATTGTTGGCATTAGCAAAATTTGTCATTCTCCTCAGTTTCCCTGTGTGGCATGAAGATACTATTATCCTTGTGAACATCTCGTTAGTGAATTAAATCAGAAACATGGTTGGGGCTCTGAGGGAAAGGCAGAACTGTCACAGAGAAGAATGGATTCTTTGTTGTGCCTCTGTTGGGGATATGTAGGTCAACTGGAACTGTCCCCAAAAGTTTAAGCAGCTGAAAATATATAATTGTTCACTAGGCAATATACTAAGCATCTGAGGACATAGAAGACAAAGCTTCTACATTTAAGGAGTTTTTTGTGTATTGGTGAGAAGGACTTAACAACACAAAACAGACAATGGCATACAAGGCAGATAATGATTCAAAACAATAGATTTATTGCAGTGCAATTGGGGTACAGGTGACTAATTCTTTGTTCCTAGTGGAGAGTCCTTCTTGGATCTGGGAAGGCTTTATGGGGTTTCATCAAGACCTCAGAAGACAGGTTTTGGGTGTGTTTCTTAAGATGTATTCTGTAGCTTCAGTGAGTGGTCACTGGTTTTTCTGTCCTTTCTAGGTACAGCCAGAAGATGCCCCAGTAGTTCTCTGGCTACAGGGAGGGCCAGGAGGTTCTTCGATGTTTGGTCTCTTTGTGGAACATGGACCTTATATTGTCACAAGTAACATGACCCGTAAGTATGACCCAGACTACATTTTTCCTATGGAGAATTGTTTATCTGAACCTTATATCTGCTCCAGAAATAATTTAGAGTAAACACTAGACAGTTAGGAATAGCTTACCAGTTCCAGGTTATGAAAACATAACTTTCTGGCAATGTCTCTCTAAGAAGGAGGAGCACTAGGCTAAGTGTCCTGCCTGGGTGGCTTTCTTCCTTGAAATTGGGGTGAAAGTTTCTAAGTGTTTTCTAGGCGTCTGCTTCCGACTAAAGCAATCGTGACTTACAGAAACAGTTGGTATTTATTACTGTTTGAGAGAGCTCTCTTGTGTGAGATTAGTTGGTGAAATTATATCCATAATTATTCATACACACCAAGCACTTTCTGGCTCAGTCAGATAAATGGTCTGATATCTTGGAAGCAAGATAATTCCAGGTATTGGAATCGAGGTGTATAGAGGAATGGAGACAGAACAACCGAGGTTTACCTCCATCTCATTTTTTAATTTGTGGAGATTATTTCCTTTTCCTGGATCAGAATTTGGAGTGTTAACCAGTGTGTGACTCAGTACAAAAGCTTCTATGCCAATTTTGTTGAGTTTGTTGTTCTCTTCAGCTTTGGATAGGCAGAGGAGGATTCAAGAAGACTAGATGCTAAAAAAAAA